CCCCACAAAATCCTAGACTCCTACCTACTTACTCACTGTAATTCTCTCTGGATTTAAGGGTCAGAAAAAGTACGCAAATGTGGTCATATGCCTGAGAAGCTGTGTGTTGTGGTATTGCTTTGAAGAAATGTGAATGAACAATGACATTCTGTACACCTCCACCCTTTAGTGTGTTCAAATCTGACAGACTCTTCACACTGACAATAAACCTGTGCATGTGTGTGTTTCCAGACAATAGGCATGCTTGGCTTTGGGGCTGAGCTTCTTTTCTTTTCAATGCAAACAGACAAAGCACAAAAGGCATTCAGGTGCAGCTTGTTTTCATGTCCTGTGAACACAGCGTATGCCTCTGGTTGGTCTGCGAGTCGGTCGAGTGCTTCGCTTGCGATGCCTCTTCCTCGTCTTTACAAGGGTTATTACACAGTCATGCACAGACAGCATCCCACCATGCAAGCCGCTTTCAATGAAACAAAGGACACCCCAGCACACTGTAAACACAGATGTTGTGACATTTGTGAATTTAGTATACTATAAAAGAGCTCCGATCTGATCCAAAGTGAAAGGCCGGTTGGCTTACTGTTAAGTTTATCCTTTGTGTGACTCAACTGGCTGTTTAAAGAGACAATAACGGTAACTTTAGGATTGTATGGCAACACAGGCACACCTCTCCTGGCAAAGACATTAACATGACATGTGATCAGTGTCAGGCCAAATGTTTTGTCTTTGCCGCCATTTCGTTGACCTTTGCTGCTTCTCGAGTCTGTAGCTATCCCGACATGACAACAAATGCACGGCTATGTTCTGCTTTGGATTGGACACACTCAGACCGAGAGCAAATGCAGCTTTCTTCAGTTTGCCACTGAGCAGCTCATTAAAGAGCAATCTGAGAGAAGTGCCTTTCTTGAGGCACTATGAAAGTCATTATCGAGGGATGAAGAAAGAGATACTTGATCTTCCTTACTTGTATAAAGGGAAAATAATACCAGTAATATGTTTTGTTTAATTCTGTTTTAATAAATTAGTGTTGGTATTGATTGTGACTGGCCCTACACGCTGTGACAAAGCAGAACAGAAAAATACAAAACGTTTGGACACCCTTAAAGTTTTGCACAATTTGTTATGGCACAATGATCTTAATGTCAAAATGTCTTGTATCACAAAACAGTAACAAGAAAATTCATGCTGCTCGGAGCTTGTATTTAACTTACAGTCAGGCATATATCATTAATCACAATGTAAAAGGATGGTATTTACTCTAAAGAGGCCACTGCAATTGTTACGTGCCATTCAATGAGATACTTGCATCTGATTAGTTGTATTTATCAGAGGTTAAAGGTTAATTTACATCTATATTTTTGGTTTAGTGATCACCTCCTTAGACTACAGAGGTACTACCTAATAAATAGGAACACCATAATTACAACCAAGGTCATGACCTATTGGAAAGTAACAGCAGCTATGTCACTTACGTTAGGAATATTCACATCTGACGCAGACTTTTTTTTTTTTTAATCGAGCCTCGGACATCTTCAGAAGGAAGGAAGGAGTTACAGAAGAACAGTTAAGTCCTGTTTCCTGAACCACTTCCCCTCAGGAAGACTAAACAGCAGTGTTATTATAAATAATGATATACACACACAGTATTGACTGTTTCAATACTGTGTGCAGTGCCTGAAACGTACATTATGAACTAATCTTTTATTTTGCCTTAAATGTCTTTCTACAATGGAAATAAACTATAAATAAATCTGAGTAAACGTGAAAATGAAACCAAAACTACAGCAGTCATTTCCAAGGAATCAAAAACAAAACTGCGGCCGCACCTTGTAAACTCAATAAAACATATCCTGACATTGTAATCCGGGATATAAAAAACAATAAAACTAGAATTACCATGCCAATCAGAACACTAAATAAGGAATCGTCTATCGTGTGCTACATCAAAACATAAAACATTTCGACCCTGTGAGATGTCAGGGGAAAGCTACAGCAATGTTCTCAGCATCCGTTGTATGATAAAGCATCTGTCTTACATGCTCACGTGAAAAGCCGAAACCTCACACATCTGGAACCTGGCTGAGAATGTGTTTATTAGTAGACATGAGTTCATTAAAATATACTTGTACGACACTCTACATAAGCATTACTCTATACCTATGACAGACCAGTTTTAGGTTTTGAAATAAAACCCATTATTAGTACAACTACTGAACTTAAAAATTAGGATGGCTGGAAGCACACCCTCCGTTTCCACTAATAGTTTTTTCCTATATTACTGTGAGGAGGTGTCAACGATTACAATGCTTTTATATTTAAGCTCATGGTTGGTTAATAAATGCTAATGTTTTAATTGGAGCTTTATATCGACTGTCACCATCCCAGCACACATATTCACTCTTGCCTCAAAACACATACCTATATATGTACATTTTATTATTTTATAACATCAGACTACATTTAAAACGCCTTTCTTTTTATTTCTTTTTTTAAATGTATGCAGTTGTTATGAGATTTTACTCAAATTCTTGGTTTGTTTTTTTGCCTCTCTGGTCCCATCATCAGTCACTGAGTGCGGTCACATGACTGATGGACAACCGTCCCGGTAACCACTTGCTACGTGCGGTAATACATCCCGCAAGTGCATTTGTTCTTCGGTTTACACTGTTAGTTAGGGTCAGTGTTACATTTCCTAGTACACCGGTGCCAAATAAGGACTGGTCAGCTGTCAAATGTCCTTTTAAAAGACCTCAAGCTTGATAATTACGTGCCAGACTTTGAACTCAGATAACCTGCCGTGAGGAAGAGGAGGGTAAACACCTCTTTGTCTTTTTAACTTTCAGTTTTGATTTCTCCAGAGTGACGCATTGCCACTGTGCGGCGGCTAGCTCCACGCCGGCTAACATGAAGCACTCCTGGGGCTCTTTGAATGAGACTTTGGTCATGTGCATTTCACCGAGCTATCCACACAGCACTCGCTAGTTAGCGGCTAATATTAGCTTTTTTTTTTATTTCTTTAAATATATATGAATGTCCCTCTGTCTGCCTTCTGCGCTCCCTGTGAGCTAACTAGCTAATTCAGCTAGCTGGATACTAGCAAACCCGGCGGGGCTCTGGCTCCCGAATAGATATAAATATATAAAAGTTAGCTTCAAGAGGGATGCTTGCTTTCTGAATTTAGCTCGGTGCTGTACCAGCCCTCTCCTCCTCCTCCTGCTGCCCATTCGGCCTGCTGTGAACCGACGGAGACCGGCCACAGAGAGCACAGAGATGGCCTTGGGACTGATGATGAAACCACCTTGACTTTATCCATTTTCCTCCTCCAGCCGCTCCCCCCCCTCCACCCAGCCTCCCTCCCACCCACCACGGATACCGTACCTTGTATGAGTCCGTCGCTAGCATTATGTTGAAGTCTATGTCTCTGTGCTCCATCTTTTCCCCTCCGGTTGTGAGTCAGTCGCAGCTGTCAGTGTGTTGTGTTGCGCGCCGTGCTGCCGGGGACTCCAGCCTGCTGTAGTGGAGCTGAGCAGGGGGAAGGACGAGCGGAGAGAACCGGGCGGGGGAAGGGGCGGGCGGACTGTCGTCACCAGGGTTCGGGTATCCCTCGGCTTTCTTCGGCAGTACTCGGCCAACCCGATTCAAGCAAAGATTATCTATACTGAGGAAGATGAACCACTCAACAATGAAGGCGGGACACGCATAGGTCAATCATTTCTTACCATCATGGAGAAACTGTACGCTCAAATTATTAACTCTTAATTAAAGGCTAGTGCCTTTTTATAAAAGCAAGTATTTGTATTTTTTTATTACAAAAGAATATCTTTTTTGTTAATTTTCTTAATCCTTATGGAGTATAATATTTTCTACTTAATGGGTTTGTCAAAATTCTGGGGTTTTCTGTTAAATATTTAATACTATGTACTTTGTGAATATACTGAATGCACCAGGTGAAGATGTTTTATTTCTGAATATCCATGCACTTGTAAACCTGTAACACAATAATGACTTTTATAAAAGTATATAGTGACAGGACAACCTTAGGAAATTATTATGTGTGATTTTGTGGGAAAATACACACAAAGACAGGTAGTTAATAAAAAGAGTCTTTGGGAGGCTTTGTTTTAAAACGCTACTGCACCACTGAATATGACATTTCCAGTCACATAACAATGTTCAGCCTGTTCATAGTACTGTGAGAAAGTAAGAGTGGGTGCTCTTTGCTTTAATGTCCTCTCAGAAATTATGCATGAGTCTC